GGGTTTAGATCTAGGGTTAGGGTTCAGAATCCGACCCACTGTTCTTCTTTTTTCTAAAATCGATTGTGGGTTTAGGGTTTGGTTTCGAGTAGACTTGAAGCTGAGCCCTCCTTCTCTTCTTTCTTTCACCCAGTTATGGTTAGGGTTAGGAAAACCCTCTTTCTTCTCAGATCCGAAGTGGATCTGATCGGTTCTCTGCTTTCTTGTCTATTTTCTTCTTGGTTCTTTACCGATTGGGATTAGGGTTAGGGTTAGGATTTCATTAGGGTTAGGATTAACCCGATTCATTTTTCTTTCGGTTTGGGTTCGGTTGAACCCTCTGATCCTTTCTTGCCGTGCGCCGGCGAAGACGGCGGTGCGGCACCTTTCCCTGCGCGGTGGCGGTGGTGACCGGCAATCAGTGACGCCCGCCACCCTCCCGGTCTCTTTTCTATTTTCTTTTACCCGGTTAGGGTTAGGGTTTCAATTCGAAACGGATCAAACCCTTGTTCTTTCTTTGATTTCTTTTCAATGCTTTACCCCATACTAGATCTATACACTGGCAACCTTGGCTCTGGTACCATTGTTAGAAAGTTCTAAACTCTAGGTGTAGATCTAGCGGGTAAAACAAACGTCTATTGGTGTACATTGGTAGCTAGTACGCCCGCAGCGACCGGAGATCAAGTGCAGTCGCAGTCCCTACAGCGACGCGAGGTACAACGTCCCGGTGGTGGCACTACAGAGGCGACGGCGGAGTCGGTGGGGCTTCCCGTCGCTAACAGCACTCTTCTTTAGATCGGATTAGTGTTTCTCTGTGGGTGGTTACGGCGGCTCAGGTCAACTTCGTAGTCCGAGCCTTGATCCCCACCTCTCTTTTTATAGTGCTGTGCAACAGGGGTCCACCAACCATATTAGGGTTGGGCGCCCCCGATCAGGGCACAGATCCAATGGCCCAATAGGCCGTTGGGCCTATTGATGAAGATCAACTAACAGAATGAACTGGCCACGATGGATCAGACATGGGAACAGGCCAAAAAATTGGTGGTGGGTCCGTTCCGTCAATGAGTTTGGAGCCAAGATACGAAAGGGGATCTCCGGCAACGAATCTGGGTTGGGAATGAAAGAAGCAGGCGACGGGAGTATGGAACTTTCCAAATGGTCAATGTGAAACGGGCGAGATTTGGGGTGCATGACGATGGCTCGCTCCATCTCACGTGGACTGAGCCGCTGTGTCGTTTTGACGAGCTGAGAGACAAGCTTTGTGCGGATGGAGTGGGTTAGCTGAGACGAAAGGGCGGGACAAGACTCGGTCGGGCAGCTGGTTTGGTCCGGACAGTAGCGCCTGTTTGCTTCACTTATAAACCGTATTTTTTCAGTTAACGAACAATATTTTTTTCTCACAACAAATCAGCCAACGATACTTTTAGTCATAACTTATCAGCCAAGTGAATAGAACGTAGAGCGCTGGGTCTGGCTACAGAATATGTTATTTTGTAGCCAACAGTTCTCTCTCTCTATATATATAAAACTACTACCCTGTAGCTGGCTACAAAATAACTTATTCTGTAGCCAATTTGAGTTACGATAATTACTATATTAATTTACAAGATTATAGTAACTCCTTACTAAGTGATTTACTATAACGTTATGATAAATATCCCCATGTGTTATAGGAACCCAACTATCGTAAATACGTATTGACATTATCGTAAATTAGTATATAAAATTATCGTAAATGGAGGTGGTTACAGAATAACTTATTTTATAGCTGGCTACTGAATATACTATCCATATATATATATATATATATATATATATATATATATATATATAGAGAGAGAGAGAGAGAGAGAGAGAACGAACGAGCGAAGTGTTTTTTATGCCTTACTTTTCTTTTTTATTTTCCAAACTGCCTTCACACCGTCCATGTCTCATATGTGACTCGCACTCATGACCCATGCTCATACGAGTTAGAATAACTCGCGCCAAGCAATGATATGGATCCGGTTACAAGACGTACCAAGCGATGGTATAGAGTCCGATTCGATTTCAATACATATTGGAATAGATGATTTCCGAGCCACAAGTTGCGTTTAGATGGATGGCCACATGTAAGAAGTTGCACGTTCCGTTGCAGCGCACTGGCACATTTGCTAGTTAATTAAAGAGACAAAATTTCTCTCAGCCTATTTATCGTCCACCTCCTCTAACTACCTGGCTAGTGGATAGTTTCTTGCGCCCCTTTTTTTTTTACTTCTCAAACTGCACTCACATCCTCCGTGTCTCTTATATGATCTAGTCTCAGGACCCCATACTCATACGAGTTGGAGCAACTCGCGTCTAGCGACGATAAATACAGAGTCTGATTCCAATACGTATTGGATCACGCCCTACGTATCTTGTATATGTCCCGAACTCACACTATTACAAAAATGATTTTATGAGGCAGTGCCCAAACATTAACCGAGGCGGTCACAAAATCCAACCGCCTCGTAAAATGCCCGACGATTAATGGAGGCGGTCGTTTAATTTACCGAGGCACCCAAAAAATGACTGCCTCGCAAACTCGATTTACCGAGGCGGATGTTTTATTTACGGAGGCGGTCACTATTGTCCGCCTCGTAAAATCGATTAACCGAGGCGGTCCAAAAATAACCGCCTCTTGAAATCGATTTACTCTGTTAATCGTGGCCAAGGCCCAGCCAAAGCCCAAATCGGGCTCCTACCGGGCTCATATAAATAAAGGGACTTAGGGGTTCACTTCAAAATCAGCTCTCTCTCTCTCTCTCTCTCTCAGCCCCGACGCGGCGCCCCTCTCATCCCCGACGCGGCGTCCTCTCTCCCTCTCCGGCATGCCCTCTCTCCTCCCCCCGGCGGCGCCCTCTCTCCTCTCTCCCTCTGGCGGCGCCCTCTCTCCTCCCTCCGGTGGCGGCGTGGCGCAGGGAGGCCGGACCCGGTGGCAGTGCAGCGCGGGGAGGCTAGATCCGACGGTGGCGTGGTACGGGGAGGGCGGATACGGTGGTGCCCTTTCTCCCTCCTGTGGCGCCCTCTCTTCTCTCTCCCGCCGATGGTGGCGCGACATGGGGAGGCCGGATCCGGTGGCGGCGCGGTGCGGGGAGGCCGGATTCGGTGGCGGAGCGGCCCGGGGAAGCCGGATCTAGCGGCGCCCCCTCTCTTCTCTCTCCTTCCGGCGGCACCCTCTCTTCTCTCTCCCTCCGGTGGTGGCGCGGCGCGGGGAGGCTGGATCCGGTGGCGGCGCCGCGCGGGGAGCCGGATCCCGGCGGCGGCGGCGCTCGGAGGAGCCGGATCCGGCTGCGGCGTGCATGGGGAGGCCTCCGGCGGTGGTGGGGCCCGCACGGAGCAAACGGGCTTGACAGTGGGCTTCGAAACGGGCTCGCCGGATGGCTTTCGTTTTTTTTATTTTTTTAATCGATTTTCGTAGGAGGGCAACTCGACCGCCTGGGGAAAAAGACGATTTATGCAGGCCTTTGGACCGAGGCGGTTGTAATATCCGCCTCGATAAATCGAAAACGCCCGCCTGCAATAAAGATACTGTAGTAGTGTCATAACCCACGCTCATACAAGTTAGAACAACTACGTATTCAGTTTCGTTGCACAATGAACACAGCCATACATATCCATCCATTCTCCTACACACCAATATCACCACAGCACAGACACACACGGCCGTAAATCTATGGCACATACAGTAGTAAGCAGCCCGGTACACGTCGCACGGGTACGTCCTCTCGTGCTCCGCTACCTAGTATCGGTCGTCTTCCATCAGCTGCCTGAAGTTTATGGGCGCGGCGAAGTGGAGCGAGCCGTTGTAGATGGCGGCGGCGGCGAGCTTGGAGGTGGCGTGCGTCGGCTGCAGCAGGTCCCAGAACAGGTACTCGTGCCGGTTGTCGCACAGCGTCGCGTTGGGCGTGCACCCGGACTCCCCGTTGAACCGGCCCGACCCGCAGCACGCGTTCGTGACGTCCTTGAACCCTGCACGTACGTCATTCTCAAATTTCACGTCAAACCCGGACACGATTCTCTCAAGCCTGAACCGCATCGATCAGCTATCTGATCAAAGCGTCGTAGCTGTTCAGGGCACACGTACGTACCCAGCCTTTGAGGGTGCTTCATGATGCTCTGCACGACGGCATCGTAGTGGGGAAAAAATTGGGCCCAATAACCAAGACTCAAACCGTTCAGCATCACGTCTCAAGGCCCAAATCGCACTACGTGGTGCTGTCGTGGACAAGACTCTCCTCATTAACGAATTGAATGTCAACGACAAATTTTTCGTCTCATCAGGAACAAAAGGTCTCTTTTTAAAAAGAAAAGAAAAGGAGATTTCCTTTGTTTATGCTATATTGAAAGCAAGAAAGGTCATCCAAGTTTTGAAATCGACAACACAAGAACAAACAAAATTTCTGCTTTGAAGCACACGGGCTGGTCACCATGCGCATCTAAAGATATGATTTGGTGTGGCCACGGCGCGGCCTCAGGGTGACCACGTCGCCGGCTTTTCGCGGCCGTTCGATCGGCCGCGCGGACGGCCTAGATCGGGCGAGCCGCGGTCGTTTTACGAAAAACCTCTTTAAGTTTTCGGAAATCAACCATATCTCAGACGTCCTCTCTCGAATTTTTACAAAAACGCGTCTCGTATTATTTCCAAATCAACGCTCAGTCCAGACCGGATGGGTACTGGTTTGTTTGCAAAAAAGACCTCCACTTTATCGAAAATCAACTCGCGCTCCCCAGACACTCTCACCGTTTTTTGCGAAAATATCCTCAGATTTTTCTCAAATCAAAATACAGCCCAACTTTGATTATATCTTTTTTTTCTCTAAAAAATACGTGTGGCCAGTGGACCGCGCGTATGGGCGCGCCCGAAAAACTAGTCACTATGACAGATTGTCTGCGTCCGGAACCAGCTAGCTGCTGGCCCCGTCCGGTAGTGCGACTACTGCTTATTTGGTACTACTAGGAGCAAAGCGTCTTCAGGAATCCCAGAAAATTTCGCAGAATCACAGCATTGCGAGCTCCCTGACGTTGACGGGGTAGACGAAGGTCTGGTTGCCGGCGAAGATCGTCTGCGCGGCGATGGCTGACACGGCCTGCGAGGGATGGTTGGCGTCCCAGAACAGGTAGTCGTCGCGGTTGGCGCACACCGGCGCCGTCTCGTTGCACGCGAACGCCGCCCCGTACGGGCCGCCGCCACAGCACGCCGCCTCCAGCTCCGTGAAGTCTGCAGGCACGTACGTACACAGTCGAGCAAACATACATGCATCAGATCGATCAGAACAATGGCGATCGGCGAATCAACCGTCACATTCGCAGCAGATGCAGAGAGGAGGAGGCGGGCGGCGATCGATCGCTTACTCCAGGCGTCGGTCCGCGGGTTTTCGAAGACGAAGGAGACCATGGCGTAGGCGTTGGCGAGGGAGTAGGCCATGTCGGGCATCTCGTAGCTGAGCTGCTTCAGCATCCCGGCGAGCATCGGGTAGGAGCGCAGCGAGAGGTCGTTGAGCGGGTCGAAGCAGCCCTGGGTTCCCAGCTGCTTCAGCCGGCGCAGCCTCTGCGACGGGATGCACCCCAGCTGCGGGATGCTGATGACGCTGAACTTCCTCGCGCCCATCTCATACAAGGCCAAGATGTACTGCTTGTAGGCAGCGACCAGGGCACCCAAGAACTCTATGTCGTCGCCGGGGGATGCCGAGTACTCGAACATGTCGTTGCTGCCGGTGCTGATGAAGAAGATGGACCTGCGGAGGAGACTCTCGGTCTTCTTCTGACCCGAGAGCTGGGCCATGCACTCAACAACCTCTGAGAAGTGCTCCAGCTGCTGGGACATCGGGATCACCTCGCCAAACTGCACAGCACGGACGGGTTTAGATGGATTAGCCGTGTTATTATGCATGCCTACTACTACATGTGCCGAGATTTTTGTGTATGGGCAAGTAGTACGACACATGCGTACCAGTGATTTGCCGGTGCCATCGGCAAGCCCGGACCCTCCGGACGCGAAGTTGATGCCCTTGTACATCTGAGACTTGAGGGCCTTTTCCGATAGAGAGAGGTAAGCCGGTGGGCTCATTTTGAAGCCGAGACCTCGAGCTGTTCACCATCATAGAGTGCGCTAGTGGGTCAGTCATCCACCACTGATCGCATTGCTGAACTCTGTAGGAACCACAGACTACAGGTGTGCATATTCCGTACCTAGCAGGTCTGCCGTGTTGAAGCCGTTACTGAACCGCCCGGTCGGCTTCGACCCGCCGGGAAAGTCGATGCCGTACTGCGGATAGTTGGCTCTGGCCGCAGCGGTGACGTTCAGGTTATTGTTGTTGCCGACGTCCACGGTGGAGTCGCCGAACACGAACGCCGCGGGGACAAGCCGCGGGTGGTGCCTCGCCTCCGCGTCCGTTGCCACGAGCACAAGCAGGCACAGGGCCACGAGCACGGACGAGGCAGTCCGCTGGGCCATCGTCTCGTCTCTGTGGCTTTTGCTTGTGCTCTGCTCAGTTTTCAGACGGTGAGGGCTGGGAATCCGTGACCGAGCATATATATACTGTGATAGGATGCACATGGTTCCATCAGGAATTAACGAAGACCAGCGCAGAATTATCATCGACTAGCTGGCCAATATGCTCTGGATTCTGGAATGGAATTGTCCCCAATCCCCATGCATGCCGATTACTACAACAATGTTGTTACAACTGTCGATGCAATGCAAAGAACGTTCTATGGAATCATCTGGAGGTCGTTTTCGTACAAAAAGGCTGAAAATGTGTCGTATTCTTGGAAGAAAACGGCTGAGAATGTTGTAATGTGTTTGAACGAGTCCACATGGCCTAGACCGGTAGCGCCTCGGAGGGAACAGCGACGTCACGACAGATGCACAACTGGCGCAGCAGCTTAGGACACATCGGCAGGGACGAAGAACGGCAAGCATGGTCTGCAGGAATGTACCGACATGCTTAGAGCTTGCGCTCGGATCTAGCTGCATCCAATCCAAGGGCGTGAGCGTGACGCTCTTGGCTCTTACGGGTATTTCTGGATTCTCTGGAATTTTAGTCGAGGACGCGTAGCAATTCGTTCAGATTATCACAGAGGGCACGAGAGGTGACACGTTGTCTCGGAGTCCAAACTACGCCGCCATCGTCATCTAAACCACAAGAAACATAACAATGAACACAGCCATGCATATCCGTTGTCCTACTACACACCAATATCACCAGCACAGACAGACACGGCCGTAAATCTATGGCACGTACAGTAGTAAGCAGCAGCAGCAACGGTACACGTCGATCGCACGGGTACGTACGTCCTCGTGCTCCGCTACTACCTAGTATCGGTCGTCTTCCACCAGCTGCCTGAAGTTTATGGGCGCGGCGAAGTGGAGCGAGCCGTTGTAGATGGCGGCGGCGGCGAGCTTGGAGGTGGCGTGCGTCGGGTGCAGCAGGTCCCAGAACAGGTACTCGTGCCGGTTGTCGCACAGCGTCGCGTTGGGCGTGCACCCAGACTCCCCGTTGAACCGGCCCGACCCGCAGCACGCGGTCGTCACGTCCTTGAACCCTGCACGTACGCACGTCAGTTTCAAATTTCACGTCAAACCCGGCGGACACGACGATCCTCTCAAGCCTGAACTGAACCGCATCGACCACGTACCCAGCCTTTGAGGGTGCTTCATGATGTTCTGCACCACGGCATGGGAGCTCCCGACGGAGTACCTCAACCCCTGGAAGCTCAGGCTGAGGCCGTGCATGGCCGCCTTGACGCCCTTGTTGAACCCGCGCGCCAGCTCGTTGAGGACGTCGATGCAGGCGCCCAGCGGGTGCAGGCTCCGCGGGTAAGGGCAGCACCCGATCGGCGGGACGTCGATCACCGCGAACTTCCTCGCCCCGAGCACGTACAGAGCCTGATTCAACCGCCGCCGGCCGTTTCGTTTAATTTCAGCGAGATTTCTCGGTGGATCATACCATGCATGGTTCAGACTTCACAGAGCACGGAGCGGCGCGGCGACGTACCTTCACATGGTTCTGGTACAGCGCGACGAGGTTGGCGACGAACCGCTGCTTGTCGGCGTCCGGCGGCGTGCTGTTCCGCGAGAAGAAGGCGAACAGGTCGTTGCCGCCGGTGCTGACGAGGAACAGGGACCGCGACAGCAGGGCGTCGGCGGCAGCTCCGTTGCCGACGCGCGAGGAGATGTTGCGCTGCACGAAGGCGAATTGCTCCACCTGCTTGCTCAGCGGGATGATGGAGCTCCCCTGCACGAACAGAGTCATCCACGTGTGTCATCTTTGCTTGCAGTTGCAGTGCCCGTGCAGGAAAGTAAACGGGCGCTAGCTAGCGGTAACTCTGGTCACGAGTGTCTTACTGTTGTGTCAAGAATGCCTGATCCTGCAGAGGCGAAGTTTACTCCCAGGAGACCTCTGTAGACCTGCTTGTTGGTCTTGTTGGCCACGGCGAGGAATGGCGGGGGGCTGCGCTTGAAGCCCATGTTCACAGCTTATAGAGTTGAACGAAAAGCCTGTTAGTTTTAGCACCAGATGAACATGTTGACAGCACAATTCTCCTGCTCGCTGCAGTTCTCGTGTTCTCAGAACTTGAAGAATAGTACATCATTTTCGAAATTGCTCTATTCCTACTTGTACTTGCAGACAATAACTAAGGATTGGCAATAGCAAATGTTCAGAGATTTCAGTTTTCAGAGTCTCCAAGGTGCTCAGGAAAAAGGTCGTGGAACTGGAGAACATGTGTGGGGGTGAGTCTGTGACCATGGGGTGGATATATATTTACTGTTTCTCATGTGACATGTGACATGCAGTTTTTGGAAGCCATGCAGAAGAGGTGCAGACGTGCAGTGGTTGCATGGTGTCCACTACTCCACTGTGTGGTGGCTCTGCTTCCTTCAAGCGCCAACGCCAAGCGAGTCGGTCAGTGTGCTCGGAGCCTCGGGCAGACGCTCATGTACACTGTGTGTTATCTGAGCGACAAATGCCAAATGCGTTAAGAGTAGCACAGCGAGTGATGGAGCCCTTTTACCACGTCTGTTCACAGTGTGCAGTGGCAATTTATTACGTATAGTTCCATCGATTCTCTGAAACACTGCGAGAGCAGCTTACTCAGTTTGGTTTGGTGATTTCAGAAATATTTTTTCCCCGTATATTTCTTGCCGTCACATTGGCCAATGAATTAGGCTCATATATGGAGTATGAATCTATTTAGATTTTACTATTGACACAAAATATCCGATTCTGGCCAAATTCATACTCCCTCCAGTCAACTTTGAATGACGTTTCGGAATTCGGACAAGCATTTTTGTTTGCTTGCAGTTCTACTCTGCTGTCCGAAACGTCATATAAAGATGACCGGAGGTTGTGTTTTTTTTGTTTCTTCTCGTCTTGAAGATGCAGAGATATTGCTATCTACCTGGTCCTGAACCTCTTTATCTGAAACCTAACGGATCGCGGCAACATACTTGATGACGCTTGTTTTCTCTGTTATATACTATAAACAGCCTGTTTGTTTGGGCTGATTTGGCTTATAAGTCATGGTTGAAAATATTGTTGGCTGGTTTGGTGTGAGAGAAAAATACTATTCGTTGGCTGAAAAGCCATGGCTTATAAGCCAAATACGACCAAACGAACAGGCTGAAAGTTGTCAACTCTGGAACTCAAACTTGTCTGGAAATTCAGAAAGCGTTAAAGCAGTTTAAAGACACTCTGCAAGTCTTCACTGCAAACTCTAGCGCCATCCAGGCTAAGGTCGATTGGGGGAAAGATATATTGAAGTGAAAACGATCTCGGTAGTGTACCGTGCATGCAGCAGGCAGAAGCTATGACTCATGAGCTCTGCTCAAACAAAATTCATCTGGACACAGCTGAATCGCAAAACTCGCAACCACAAATGAGTGAATGACCTTGAGAGCTTACCCAAGAAGTCGACGCCGTTGTATCCGTTGCTGAACCTGCCGGTGGGGCGCGACGTGGGGAAGTCGACGCCGTTGTGGGGGAAGTTGGCCCGCGGCACGTCGCTGCCCGGCAGGTAGTTGTTGTTGCCCACGTCCGCCGTGGAGTCGCCGAACACATAGATCGCCGGCACCTTGCTACTCCCTGCCGCTGCCGCGTCCACCGCCGCGGCGCAGGCGGCGAGCAGAACATGCAGGACTAGCACTGGCGGCACGGTGGCCATGGCCGGCCGGACGGCTGCGATTGCCAGCCGCAGATGCTCGGCGTAGGGCGCAGCTAGCTAGTGATGATTACTGGGTTTGGCCTGTGGGACTGGGGGCGGGCGGTGGTGGCTGGTGGCTCCCTCGATGGTCGCTGCTGCTCGGCTTTGGGAAAGGGCCGGGCCAGCCGAGACCGGCACGGCTCGGCCCTTTAAAGGGAGGTGGCGGCAAGCCGTAGTGGCTCGCTTTATGACCGTGCCAGCCAGCGGCATGGCACCACGACTGGTAGTGGTAGTACAAAAATGGCGGCTTTGGCAAAGAGGACCGTGGCGTGACGTGGCTGCGTTCGGCAAGTGCGTCGTCGTCTTGGGTCCGAGGGGGCCGACGTATCCACGCCGTCGTAGACGGGAGCGGTGACTAGAAAGTATAGAAATGAGCGGTGGGCAGGATCTCCTACATGCTGTACTTGTGAATCTCTCTTGTTTGGTAGAACTAGAGTACGGAGTACTTTGGAGAAGGGAAAACACAGACAGGAATTGTGCTGTGCAAAGGCAGATCTCTCGGTGTGTGCTTTAGTTCCAGCAGAACATGTTGGAATCTCTACCTCTTGATCTCCATTCACTCACTCAAGTGCTGTGGTCCTCTGCTATAGGATATGTGCACATCGTAGTCGTAGAACAATGAGATTGGTTTTCCTATTTTCTGATTGAAATACTGGCCGGAATGAAGTATCGTGGCTTAACTGAACTGGTTACTTGGAACTGTCACATTGTCAACAGAATATATTCTACGAACAAACACCTGGCCAGGAGTAACTTGGCTTAATTGAACTGATTACTTCGAACAATCACAGTGTCAACAAGAGAATATATTCTACTACCAATGCCAATTGCCACTGATATACATTTGTGCACGCATAATGCAACCCCAACACGCTTACGAACCTTGAAAGATTGAAAAGGCCAGATGGAATCCACAAGTACCGCGGTTAATACACTAGCTAGTGGGATGCAGCATCCTAAGATGGGCACACAAGCTTTGCTCAAGCTTATTCTTGTACGTTTTATTTATCGGTTTTCCTTTGCTCAAAGCATCCAATAATTCTGTCTTTACGCTTAGTGCATTTCATACTGTTGTTACCATTCCTTACGTTTTAAGCTATAGCGTGTCAGTTGCGGCTTTTCGCTTTGCGGACAGAAAATTAAAGAAGATCCCATTGCATGTATGTATATACGTGTGACCTTTTTCGCCCTTTGCAAAGCAACAAAAATAAAACGGCAGCAGTGGACACCTTTTTCTTTTGAGATCGAGAT